ATCTATCTATCTATCTATCTATCTATCTATCTATCTATCTATCTATCATGTATACAGTGTTCTGCCTGTATGTACACCTGCATGCCAGAATAGGGCACCAGATCTCATTATAGATGGTTTTGAGCCACTGTGTGGTTGCTGGGAATTGAATTTAGGACCTCTGGAATAGCAGCCAGTGCTCTTAATCTCTGAGCCATTTCTCCATCCCCCAAACTAAGATCCTTTTGACCAGTCTTAGTACTATTTCATAAGGATGTGTTGCTCCCTGTCTAGGTAGTAGCATCAGCTTTCTATTAACAGAGCAAGTACTAGTTTCCTCCATATTTAGTGTTTTAATAGAATTATTGTATTCTTAAGCATTTAATCTAATTAATTGCAAACTGTGTTTTGTTTTGCAGGGGGATTATAGGGTAGAGCCTGAGACAGTTTTTCACTCTTGTCTTGGAACTCACTGTGTAGCCCAGGCTAGCCTTGAACCTCAGGATCCTCCTGAGTGCTGATATTACTGTAAGAGTCATCACACCTGGCGTTTCTTAGATATCTTTATTTTTCTTTTGTGTATATATATGGCTATGGACATACTGTGACCCATGAGCAGAGGTCAGGGATTAGCTGTCAGTGAGTGTTCTCCTTTCTCAGCTGGTTCCTGGGTTTGAGCTACAGTGTCAGGTTGTGCTGCTAAGTGCTTTCACTCTTGGACCCGGCTTGCTGACTAGAGCCATACCTTTAAAAAAAATCAGTTTTCTTCCCCCTCCTTTGTCTTACTGCCATATATGAATATCAAGCTAGTCTGACTTCCCCAAGTGGGCTCACTCAATGCCACTCCTCAGGTCCTTCGTAGTGGTCCCAGGAATCAGACAAAGACTTGCCTGCACTTTACTTCTGAGCTGTGGTTCTCCAAAAGGGTCTTTATTATTACGAAGTAGGTGCTTTTCCTGGGTTTTGGAGATTGAGCCCAGGGTCTTTTGTATGCTAACCATGTACACTTAAGCTGTTCTCAAACTTGTGGTGTTTCCAATTACCATTTTACATGCTCACATGTTACCTCTAGTCCCGTCCTTACAAACGTATAATTGCATTGCTCTCTCTTTTTTTCTCTGGTAGCTCTTCACAGATGGGATCACAAATAAGCTCATTGCCTGCTACGTGGGTGACACCATGGAAGATGTGGTTCTGGTGAGAATTTATGGCAACAAGACTGAACTGTTAGTGGACCGAGATGAAGAAGTGAAAAGTTTCCGTGTGCTGCAGGCTCACGGCTGTGCCCCTCGGCTGTACTGCACGTTTAATAATGGACTGTGCTACGAGTTTATACAGGGCGAAGCTTTAGACCCCCAGCATGTCTGTGACCCAGCCATTTTCAGGTGAGCCCTTCTAAGTTTCTCCTTCTGAAAAAGAGTGTAATGTGCACTAAGGAAATACACTAAAATTTAAAAATTACAGGATTTGTATATGTGTGAGAGGGAGGAGAGGAAAGCATTTACGTAGGTATGAATTTGGGTGTTTTTAGTGGTCACAGAACGTCTTGTTAGAGTGGGATTTTCTTTCATTGTAGATTTCCGGAATCAAATTCAGGCCATCAGAGCTGCATAGCAAATGCATTTACCTGCTGTGACATACTTTTAGCTGGCTTCTTAGATGCTTTTTAACAGCTGAGTGAGGTAGCTCACACCTGTAATCCCAGGAGAAACTGTTCAAGGTCATCCTCAGCCAACTAGGGAGTTTGATGCCAGCCTGGGCTCCATGAGACCCTGTGGCCCTCCCAAGAAAGAAAGTATTTGAACATGCCCCAGACTTTTGCTTTAGTGTTTAATCTAGGTTTACCAATATCTGCTATGTTAGAAGTTGAAACTTTTTTTTTTTTTTAGAACATAAAGAATATCAAGCGGACGTCTTGTTTAGCGGTCAGTTTGGTGACATCAGTTCCACACAGCAGTACTTGGGAGAACAAGAGTGAGCGAGGCAAATAATGTCTAATGACAGAGTTTTACCATGGAACCTTCCTGAACGGAGTCCTGGGTTGTACTTTAAGAAAAATTTGAGTGAAAACTAATTAGAAATGAAATGGGCCATATCATTTGCTTGTGCTGGAATTCTGTAATACAAATTTTTATTCTTCTAAGGAGGCAGGATCTCAGACTGGCCTCAGGCTTACTGTGTTACTGAGGATGACCTGGGCCTTCTGACCCTCCTGCGTTTATCTCCAAGTGCTGGGAGGCAGCTGTGTGCTCCCGTGCTGTTTTTATTTTTTGTTTTCAGTCAGGGTCTCATAACATAGTCCTGGCTGGCCTGGAACAGGCTATGTAGACCAGGTTAGTTTTCAGTGCCAGTGACCATAGCCCCTGCACCGTATTCTTTCATTTCTTTTTTTTTTTAATTTAAATATTTATTTATTTATTTATTTATTTATTTGCTTATTTATTTGCTTATTTATTTATTTATTTGTTTATTTATTTATTTATTTATTATATAGTATTCTGCCTGCATGTATGCCTACAGGCTAGAAGAGGGCACCAGATCTCATTATAGATTGAACCACACCATGTGGTTGCTGGGACTTGAACGCAGGACCTCTGGAAGAGCAGCCAGTGCTCTTAACCTCTGAGCCATCTCTCCAGCCCCTTCTTTCATTTCTTCATGGGTATCTTAATTCCCTTTCAGAATCCACACTTCACTAAAACTGTTAAATTGTCACATTGAAACTGGGTAACATAGATCACTCAGGAGTTTAGATTTAGGAGAGTTTTACTTTCCACATCTAATGGTGGAAACTGGACGTAGGGAGTTTATGCTTTCTCCTTTGCTGATAATGGTAGGACGGTGTGCTATGAGGGGCCATGTTGAAAAGATAAATGAGACATCATGTCACTTTTATTCAGAGTATACTATAAAGCCATCTTGCCACCTTTTTGAGCCATGGGAATTTCCATATAGTTAGTGTAGAGCCAGGCCACCTCACCTTCATGAGGTATGGGAATTTGCTGCCTCAGTTTCCTTAAAAATAGGAGTAATTACCTAATTCCATGATTATTGTAAAGGTTAGATTTATTAATACAGAAACACAGGTTAAATTTCTTTTATCTATAGTGCTTTGGGCCAGAAATATTGCTCTAGATACTTTTTGGCTTTGGAGTATTTGCACATTCAAATGTCGTTGGGGTGGGGCCAACTGTAAACACAGAATCGATGCATATGCTGGGGTATGTGCGTGCTACACAGGCACATAGAAGGCAGTTGGATACAGGGTTTTGAGGATGTCTGATTTGACCAACCGGTTATAAAGGTAGCTGTGGGATTTTTTTTTTTTTTTTTTTTTTTTCCTGTTTGTGTCCTTATTCTAAGGTTACTCAGCTTGTCTGTTTGGGGAGTTTAGAGCACTGCTAAGTACTGTGTTTCAACACCTGTTATTTTTAATTTTTGTGTTTTCTTAGCCAAACATTTACAATTCTAACACCTTGGATACTAAGAGGTATCTTTTACTAAGAATACTTTTTTTGGCAAATTGTTAGAGATAATGCGCTTGGTTACCTTCATTACGCTTTTGGAAGGATACTCTTCTAAGTTTTTAGCTGAGTGTCGTACATTCTCAAATGTAGTTCCACCTGAGAAGTAGAAGCAGGATGCTAATCTTGGCTATGTGAGATTTCTTTGTTTGTCCCAAACAAGGATGGCTGGGAGTAGGCGCAGTGCTGCTGCAAAGCCTGAGGACCAGAGTTTTTACTTCCTGAACCCATATAAAAGCAAGGGGTGCCGCACACACTTGCATTCCACTGCTGGTGGATGACAGGTAGATTCTTGGGGGTTCCTTGGCCAGCCAAGCAGAAGTGGGGAATTTCAGGTTGAGTAAAAGACTGTCTCAAAACAAAACAAAACAACAACAAAACACAAAACAACCCAAAAGGTAATCAAAAGAAGAAATTTCCTGTCATCATTCTCTGTCCTCTGAAGTCATGGGTGGGCACATGGCCCCATACATGCATTTACCACACGTACACATACACAAATAAAAAAAAAACAACTAAAAGTCACACCTAACTTTGAGCAGTGCATGCCTTGTAATCCCAGCTACTCAGGAGGCTGAGGAAGGATTATTTGAGCCCAGGGATTTGAGGCTTGGAGGGTTTAAAAATAAGTAACAAGGTCCCATCTCAAAACTTTCGTTTTTAGGAACTGTTGATGGTGGCATACTGGACAGTGTTTTCTCAAGTGTGTGAAAGCTGCACGTGCATGGCCAGACAGCTGGCACTAACCCCTCTCTAGTTTATGACAGTCAACATCCTGGATCTTACATGAGACCTCAGAATGCTTCTTGACTGTGAGCCAGGTTTGCATTGCTTTAACAGAATACCTGGTGAAGTTGGAAAGACTTAATTTCACTTATGGTTTGAAGAGTTAGAATATGTGGTCTGTTGTTTTGGGGTGCTGTGGTGAGAAGAGAAGCACAGCTGGGGTCACGTGGTGGAGCAGAGTTGATTTTCTCACAGTGGCAAGAAAGCAGAGAGGTCTGTGAAAGGCTTCGTGTCCTGTGCAATGCCTCCTAAAGGTTCCAACACCTCCAAGTGGCACAGTCGATTAGAGACCAGGCCTGCAAAGCCAGGCTTCCGGGAACATGTGAGCTTCAAATCATGTTACTAGTTTCTTGAGGGGCAGCCCCTCTACCCTTTTTTGAAAGGGGAACTTTCTCACACATGCATGTTTCATTTTTGTTTTTGTTTTATTTTGGTTCATTCATTTATTCATCCATTATTGGTGGTACCAAGGGTTGAACTCATGGCTTATTAAATTTTTTTTTTAACAGATCTTGCCTCATTTATTTGTAAAAACAGCATAGGACACTGGTCATCTGTAAATAGTGTGAAGGTGGGTGTGTCACACCAGTCTGTCTGTCTTCACATTAGCAGAAGCCTTTCTTATGGGGCCTTCACAGGGGCCTGGGCACCTTTGGGAGCCTGTGCTGTGGCTGAAGCCTGGGCCTTAAGCTGGAGCTATGGCCTCTGCCTTGGTTTGAATTTTGGGCTTTGGTTGGCAGAGGCTATGACCCTTGTCCATATATGCAGCTTCGAATCCGCTTCCCAAGCTTGAGGTGAGCGATGAAAACTTGCGGCCAGGGCCCTTTAGCATATTGCGCTTAACAGCTGTAGGCTCCTAATGGCCTCTGCTCGCGCACTCATTGCCTTTGCGTTGTTTGCCTGCATCTTCTTCAGGTCTTTCTTGTACTTCTTGGCAAAGCGCATGTTCCTCAAGAACTTGGGCTCCACCCCTTAAGAGATTCCTATCTTTGTGACCGGGTTTCTTGATGACATTTCTGTGCCATTTGTGGGACTGGTTGTGTGTGGTGTGGTTCTTGGACTTGGCTACGTTTGCACGGCAACCCGGGGCTCCCACAGCGTCTGTTATTTTGTTTTTTAAGATAGGGTTTCTCTTGTAGCCCTGGCTGCCCTGGAACTTGCTCCATAGACCAGGTTGGCCTGGAACTCAGAGATGGGCCTTCCTCTGCCTCAGGAGGGCTGTGATTAAAGGCCTATGCCACTGCCCAGCTGCCCTTCTTAATTTTTAAAAAAGGTTTATTATGTATACAGTATTTTGCCTGCATATATACCTGCATACTAAGAGGGCACCATATCTCATTATAGATGATTGTGAGCCACCATGTGGTTGCTGGGAATTGAACTCAGGATCTTTGGAAGAACAGCCAGTGCTTTTAACCTCCAAGCCATCTTTGCCGTCCTGCCCTTAGTTTTTAACTGGGAAATCCCACATAAAACCACCTGCCTGAGGCTTGGGGACATTGCAGATTAGTTTCATCTTTTTTCTTTCTGTTTTTCCCCTCTTTTTTTTTTTTGTGGGGGAGGGGTGTTGGTCGATGGAAGCTCATGGCAGCTCAGGCTGGCTTTAAATGCACAGCAGTTCTCGTCCATCAGTCCCTGAGCACCCACATATAGTCAACTGTGCCCAGCTATGTCTCTTTTGATACTATTAGATTTAACTTATTTAAATTTTAATTAGTTACAGTATAAATATTTCTAACAGGCATATTACAATTCTAAAAATGTCAGAATTTACTTATAAAGTTGGGTGTAATCAAATGATTGTGATGGCTAATACTGATAGAACACCAAATAGGGAACTTCATAGTGTCTAAATCTAATTTAATAACATTGCAAAATAACCCTAGGGGATAGATATTAATAAGCTTGGTTAAGTAAATGCGAAAACAAACTTAAGATATAGAGATATTTCAGTCACTAACCTTTGATCCATATGGCTAACACAAGTAGATGCTGAAAGAATACAATTGATGGGTGACTAAGCCCTTATTATTAAGTAGAACATAAAGGAAAATAGGACCTTGTTATGCTACTTAGAAAGTGATGACATTGCTGACTCAAAAGTGAACAGACAAGCCAGAAGTGGTGGCACACGCCTTTAGTCCCAGCACTCAGGGAGGCAGGGGCAGGTGAGTTGCTGTGAGTTCGAGGGCAGCCAAAGCTGCACAGAGAAACCCTGTTTCAAAAAAAAAGAAGGCAGAGTAATCTATTGCTCTCTTAGTATTCATAATTACATAATACCTAAGCCTGCCCTTGACTTTCTTTTTATCAAGGCAACTTTATAATTTTTGTGAGTAACCCTAAGTGGAAAGAGTGGAATGTTTACATAGTTCTTCCTTAATGTACTTGAGTTACTGATTCTAGGATTCCTTCTCCCCATACCACATCTGTGGTGCTCAGTTGAGTCCTTTGCATGACGACTTGTGAGGAGCATGTGTGCTTCCCATCACTAGTTGTCTCTTGTGTTACTTATTCCCACAGGCAGTGCAAAAGCCCTCTAGAACTGTTAGGATTTACTGCCCAGCATATCTGTATGTTGAGTGCAGATGAGCCATTGAGGTAGGTCGTCGAGCACACAGAATGTGACAGTGACAGTGACAGAATGTGTCAGAGGGCAGAGAGAGTGAGCAGCTGGGATTTGGGAAGGCTACATCACTGTAACAATTCCGTATAGTATGTATGGACTATGTCATATGTGATGTGTACTAGGGTATAACTTGGTGAGATTTATTCTTTCTCTCAGTCATTTTGGTTGTGCTTGGTTGAATCCACGGATGTGTGACCCACAGACACGGAAGGCTGACGACAGTTACTAGTGAAGGTTTGTTAAAGCTGACTTCAGTATTTATAATCAGTTTGATTAAGTGCCATACTTGTATTTTTAGTTAGATCTGTTCATTTAGAATACATTCGATGATACCGAAGAAGCCACACATTTACTACATAGATAGAATGGGTTCTGTTAGAAACCAGGAATGGAGTCTTTAAGAATATTGTGTGACATCTGGTTTGCAATAGTGATGTTATTGAATTGATTTACTGTTTTTTGAAAATGAGGCTAAAAAAGAAAAAGACGAAACTGATAGGAATCAAGTGAGTTGGTGTTTCAAGGAGTACCTTTGATATTTGTTTTTTTTAGTTTCTTTCAGATCGTGTTGTAAATCTTTCATGGCATTTTGAAATGCTTAGCAGGTTTTATTAACCAGTAGAAAACAGAAACTACAAGAAACAGGAAAGGCAAGTTTGAGTCAGTATGTGTGAATCATAAATTCTTTTGAAATGATTATAGGTAGGAAGTTCTGCTCTTTACTGGATCTTGAAAGAAACGAAGGACAAGCCAAATTCCCAGAGCCAGCGGAGCAGCACAAATAGCAGGGCATGAGCAGATCTGATGTCCGCACCTGACAAGATGAGAAGTAGGGTAGCAACGAGTCCTTCCTGGCTTGGAGCTCACCTGTGCTTCTGAGCGGAAACCAGCAGACCAGAGTTCAAGGTCATCCTCAGCTATGGAGCAAGTTCCAAGCCTGTCCTTAACTCTCCTTTGACCTCAGAAGCTCACGTGCATGCATGTGATACACTGGAGCATCAACAACAGAATAATTTTATTTTATGTTTTTAAAGCTGATTGGGGATGCAGACGATGACTCAGTGGTTAAGAGTAGAGGGGCCTGAGTTTGTTTCCCAGCATCTGTGTCAGGCAGCTCAGAAACTGCCTGTAACTCCAGACCCAGGGGATACAATGCCTCTGGGCACGCACATGCATGTAGTCATATATACACATTCATACACATAAAATTAAACACAAAGTAAATCTAAAACAAAAACAAACCCTGAGGGGGCAGGGTGCCTCATGCCTGATTTGCCAGCCCTTTGGAGGCAGAGACAGGATTGCAACAGTTCAAGGCCAGCCTGAGTTACAGATGAGTTCTGTGTTAGCCCTGTGTTAGCTTTTGCCTTGGTTATCCAGGCTCGTTGTGCACAGAGCATGGCTCCCTGGCCCCACATAAGTCAACTTCTATAACAGTATGTGGCCCTATCTCAAAAATCAGAAAAGGCTGAGGGTGTAGGAGTGCTTGTCTGGGTTTGATCACTAGCTTGGAAAATTATTAAGTAAAAAATATCAATAAAAGAGGGTTATACATCGTTGCTCTAAAAGGCATACTATGATTGATATACTTCCTTTCTGTTCCTTCACACATCGTGGGCAAGTAAGATACCACTGAGCCATGCTCCGAATACAGGCTTGATGTAGTCTGTGTGGTGACGCAGTTGGGTTATAGTTTTAGGACTAAGATCAGCGTTATGTAAGTCACCTGAGTAAAACTCAAGAATGTTCATGGTAGAGGGCTGGGGAGGAGGCTCAGATGGTAAAGTGAAGCCTGCGTAGCACTCCATAACAGGGCATGGTGGCTCCTACCTGTAATCTCAGTATGTGATGAAAGAGGCTCAGAAATTCAAGGCCATCCTCTGCTACGTAGTCGAAGGCTAGCCTAGGGTACATGACATTTCATCTCAAAAAAAAAAATCAGACAACAATAAATATAGTAGAAATTTCTAGTAAAAGTGTTTATTTAACCATAAGCTTATAACACTTGGTTCTCTGTAATCGTAGTTTGAATTCTCAAATATTTTTGTATGTTAGGGTTATCAGGGAAGCTTTTAAATATTCTCATTCATTAGCTTGAACCCAACCAAGCACATTAAATCAGATTGCTTTTTGGGGGGGATAGTAAATAATTTTCAGTAATACCATTGATTTATGTCTTTATGTCTGGTGATCATAATTACAGTAGAAACAGAGGTAGTAGTTTTCAGATGGAGAAGAGACACTGAACTTAACATGAAAAGAGGTGTGCAGTGGGAATTTGTAGTCAGGAACTGGACGTGATGTTGATGGGTCAAAGTTTCTGTATGGTAGCATCAAGAGTCAAGGGATTGTATAGCCACAGCAACCAGGTCTAGAGGTGCAGCAGGGGTGCAGCATAAAGAGTTCCACCAGGCAGGCTGGAGAGATGGTTCAGCAGTTAAGAGTACTGGCTGCTCCTCCAAAGGTCCTGAGTTCAATTCCCAGCAAGCACATGGTGGCTCACAACCATCTATAATTATAACGAGATCTGGTGCCCTCTTCTGGTGTGCAGGCACACATGCAGACACAACAAACATTGTATACATAATAAACAAACCTTAAAAAGGCATGCAGGAAACAGATTTGACCTGACCTGGCAGAGTTACTGTTAAAATGGGGGCTTAGAAAGAAATGTCTCAGAAGTGCTTGGAAGACATTTGAGAAATCTGACTAAAAGTGATCAAATGACAATCCTTTCTAAGTAGATAACTTTATTCTAATTTAAAATTTTTGTGGTGTTTTGTTTTTAAACAGGCTAATAGCTCGTCAGCTTGCTAAAATCCATGCTATCCATGCACACAATGGCTGGATCCCCAAATCTAACCTGTGGCTAAAGATGGGGAAATACTTCTCTCTCATTTCCAGAGGATTTGCTGATGAAGAAATTAATAAAAGGTAAATTCATTTGGTCCTTGCATTGCTTTGCTTTAGTAAGTACTGCAAGATAACAAAGCTTGTATAAAATCTGGTTTGCTTTCTCTCTTTATTAAAAGTGAACAGAAATTGACTCTCACTCTCAGATGACACTAAAAACGGACTCCCTATTTTTTTGAAAGCCCCCTGCCCTGAAAATAAAAGTCCTTACAACAATAAAGGGAGGATGGAGATGAGATGAATTCAGAGTATTTATTTAGAAATAATTATATAAAGAATATTATGAAATGCTATGTCAGTACCAGTTATGAGTGACCATAGAGACCTTGTAAATGTTTTTGTCTATAAACATCTAGAGATGTCTATTGGGACTGTAAATATTTAGGTCATCCTAATTTACTATGTTTATTTAAATGACTGATTGTCAGGTTGAAAATTCACTTTCTGGGATCTTTTAGTTCTTTTGGATTGACTCCCAAGTTCAAACTGCCTGTGGTGTTTCACTTTTCATGTGAGATTTTTATAGATTAGTCTTTAAGATCTAAAAACTAATCATGAGTAATGCTATTACTATTAATATAAAAATTGAAAATCTTACTATGTTTTGTATCTAAAGCGTGTTAAGGCTGCAGGATTCATAAATGCTCACAGTGCACATACATAGGATCTCTTAAGTTCACATGTACATGCAGACACACAAAGAATAATTCTTAAGTCGAGTGAGAAGCAGTTGACTGTGCTTCCAGACTGGCCTGGTTACCAGCTAATGTCTGTGTCATGTCCCCCTAGCAAGGATAGAGGGAATACTGTGGATTATTAGCTGGGTTTGGTGGTGGTCTGCCCACGTAGATGATCTTTGTGGTGCAAAGAGTGTTTTGATAGACTTAAGATAAAGAACCAAGAGAATAGGCAGCTCTTTGGGAAAGAGTATGTGAATAGCAGTTAGTATTTGATAGTGTTCTTGGCAAAGTGGGGGAGATAGCCCATTTTGTATCTTTTTATTTTCTATTAAATTGATATAAATAAGACTACCCACAGCGATACTTTTGGGTTCCACTTTTTTTTCCCCAGACATTTTTCTGTTAACTCTTGTCCTTAAAATCTATGTATATCCACTTATAAGCGAGTATATATCATGTGTCTTCTGCTTCTGGGTTACCTCATGCAAGATGATCTTTTCTAGTTCCTACCACTTGCTTACAAATTTCATGATTTTCTTGTTTTTAATAGCTGAGTAGTATTCCTTTGTGTATATGTACCACAATTTCTGTAACCATTCCTTTGTTGAGGGACATCTAGGTTGTTTCCAGATTCTGGCTATTACGAATAGAGCTGCTATGAACATAGTTGAACAAATATCCTTGTTGTATAGTTGAGCATATTTTGGATATATGCCTAGGAGTGGTATAACTGGATCTTGAGGTAGCAGTTTTCATAATTTTCTGAGAAAGCGCCAGATTGACTTCCAAAGTGGTTGTACAAGTTTACATTCCCACCAGCAATATGCTCACTTATAAGTGGTTATTAGACATAAAGGATAAACATACTGAAATCTATAGACCTAAAGAAGCTAAACAACAAGGAAAAGACCCTATGGAAGATCCTTAATCCTCACTCAGAAGGGCAAATGCGATAGATATCAGGAGCAGGAGAAGACAGGGAACAGGACAGGAGCCTACCACAGAGGGCCCTAAAGACTCTACTGATTGAGCTACTGATTGAGGTATTGAAGCAGAGGCTGATATTGATAGCCAATCTTTGGGCAGAGTGCATGGAATTTTATGAAAGAAGAGGGAGATAGAAAGACCTGGAGGGGACAGGAACGCCAAAAGGGGACCAATAGAACAAAAAACCTGGGCCCTGGGGTCTCTGCAAAGACTGATACCCCAACCAAGGACCATGCATGAGAGGACCTAAAACCCCTGTTCAGATGTAGCCCATAGACTCAGTCGCCAAGTGGGGTCCATTGTAAGGGGAGCAGGGGCTGTAATCTGGCATTAATTCAGTGGCAGGCTCTCTGGTCACCTCCCCCTAGAGGGCGCAACCTTGCCAGGCCACAGAGGAAGATGATGCTGCCAGCCTTCATGAGGCTAGGGTCAGATAGAAGGGGAGGAAGACCTCCCCTATCAATGGACTAGGGGAGGAGCATAGGGAGAGAAGAAGGAGAGAGGGAGGGATTGGGAGGAGATGAGGGAGGGGGCCACAGTCGGGATACAAAGTTAATAAATTGTAATAAATAAATAAAATTTAAAAATCTTATGTTAAAAATGTCTTTTAAGAAACTGTATCCCCAGCTGCACTGAGGCAAACTGTATAGCTTTGCTCTTTAGTAGATAATAAGAGTGCATTGTTGTGTTTCAGATAGTGGTCTAGGATATTCTGAAAGTTGAACTCATTTTTATTGCATTCCTCTTTGCTTGCTTAGAATAAATATTTTCAGTCTGTAACTTTAAATAATACACTTAAACCTCTTAATGATTTCATTGTGCCTCAGTTCCCTCACCTGTATATAAAGTGGCAGTAAATGTAAGGTGTTTGGAATGGTCTGTCATAGCTGCTAAATGCTTATAATGTCCCTCTCCCAGTTTTGATGTGTCAGAATTTTTAGTTTCCTCATCTACATTTTAATTGTCTTAGTTTGATTATAAAGGTTTTCTTTTTTCAAGTTTTGGAACACAATGATCTATTGTTGAATTGAGGAATATATGTTGATTCAATGGAAAACATTTGAAGTAGATTTTTAACTTTAAACTTGAAGGAAATCTCAATCAGATAAAAAAAGCTCTAACTCTTCTTTTTTAAAATGGGAAGGTTCCTAAGTGATATCCCAAGCCCTCAGCTTCTTCAGGAAGAGATGACTTGGATGAAGGAGATTCTCTCCAACCTGGGCTCACCTGTGGTACTTTGCCATAATGACCTGTTGTGTAAGAATATAATCTACAACGAGAAACAAGGTAGGTATTTGACCTTAGCAGTAAGTAAGTTGATTGATTGCTCGTATGCTCTTAATGGTCTCTTGTTGTTGTATCAGTAAACAAGAATTTAAAAAACAAAGACTTTTCTTTTGATGTTATAAAAATCATGTTAATTGCTATTAGGAACATATATATATATATATATATATTATAAATGTGAATAAAATTTCTTTAAAAGTTGGTTTATAGAAATAGTTGGTGGTTCTTGGCTTTTTAAGTGTAAAATGATGAAATGATTGTGCGTATATGCATATATATTTATAAATATATACATATAAATATATATATTTCTAGAAATTGTTTGGATGTCTGTGATTGTGAAAGCATGTCTGCTGTAATGGGGAGTGTGGGAAGTCCACAGGTTGCTATGCACTGCTGGGTTTCTGTGGGAACCCCTCAGTGCTGTGAGTTTAGTAGCACTTCATATCTCCAGGCTTTCCAATTCCTTTTTATGTGCTGGTATATTAGGGAGAGACTGAGCACAGGTCTTTGTCCATATTTATAGCAAATGAGATGATAACAAAGAAAATAGTCTGGTAAATAGACTGAAAATATTCTGAGTCAAAAGTTGATACTTCTGGTGTAACTTTGTGTGACTGTTCATATCTTGATGCTTTGTGTTCAGAACTAAGAGTCACTGGTTGCATTAGATCACTGGATGAAATGGTTTGAGGTTTGGTTGCTCAACAAGAAACACCTTCAAATACCAAATTGATATTTAAAAGTACAATTTGTGTTCAAATTAATATTTGGAAAGTGCTTGGAGCTGTGGAGCTGCTGCTTTTCAGAGGAGTTTTTGAAAGTAGTTATATCTGGAAGACCATATTTTAAAGAAAATGCTTTTGTGGCTATACTAAAGTCAAAAAATTACTATTGCTGTAGTCACAAATATATTAAATTTACTACTATTGACCTTATATATCCAAAGTTGAGATTGTTCTAATAAAAGAATTGTTATAATTACGGCTAACTTTAACCTGAAACCCAGCTAAAGAGACACTGTCAAGGATGGTGGCCTTAAGTCATATTTTCAAAAACATTTATCTTTCATATTTGATATTTTAATGTCTTTAAAGAGATTGTTTAGAAAACACTAAAGGCTTTCTTTTGAATCATATTAATTCTGTGTGGAATCATTTTTTATTTTAAGCCTTAGGCACACCCTAAGCATTAAGTCTTTGACAGTGTTCTTTAATGAGTTACTATCCATTGATTGTACATAATTGTTACAGTAAATGAGTGGTGACCAAATCTCAATGCCATATGTCTGAGACAGGAGCGTTAGCTTTGCCTAAGAGTGTGCTAGTGTACGTTCAGTGCAAGACCTAATAACACACTTGTGTAATGGAATTTCAAGTAAGGGACTTCATCTTACATTTGAAGTGGACACTCAGCTTTATTTTTAACTGCAAGTCAAAGGGAATTTCTTACTTACTTTTGGAATATAATTTTAACTTGTCATTATTTTAATTTTCATGTTTCGTTTGCATATTCATTTCATAGAACAAACTTGTTTATAAAACTAAAAAATAAGGGACCAAAAAAATCAGATTACTTTGTCATAGGTATTTTTCATTTAAACAGTTGTCAATCTCAGCTGTTGCTAATTACATGAAAATGCTTGTATTTCAAAGAGAACAATTAGATTTTAATTTGGCGTTAGAGGTCAAGGTGCCCCTCTCTGTCTCTGTCCTTTTCCTTCCAGTGGGAGTCCATGTTGTACTGCTTGCTTCCTGTCTTTGTGGGTGTTAGTAAGGAAAGGCTGTGTGTATGTGTTTTCTCTTTATCAGCCAGTAGTTTTATGTCTGCACTGTGGTTAGAATGTTCAGGAAAAATCTGAAGTTCAAGAACACCTGACCAGAAGTAAACTATTTCTGTCCTCTGGTGATGTTTCACATGAGAAGCTGGTAGTTTTGAGGTAACAAAACCATATGACCTATTTGAATCTATAATTACAAGTAGAAGATACCTTATTCCAACAGTTTGGTAAGCTTATGCATTTGGCCCTGGAACATTTCTTTGCTTCTCCAGAGGTGATATTAGAAAGGGCAGTGTGGGAGCCAGGGGTGCACACATCTTTTATCCCAGCACTTCGGAGGCAGAGGCAGGCAGATATGGTCTACTTTAGTTCCAGGACAGCTAGAGCTACATAGTGAGACCCCATCTTGAGTAGGCATGAGGGAAATCAAAAGAAGGGGCTAGAGAGAGGGCTCAGCCATTAAAAGCTAGGCTCATAACAACAGAAAAGGCAAAATGGACTCTATAGATCTTACCTTGGCTGCTTCCTCTGCTGTAGCATAAGAAAGCTAAGATTTTTGAAGGCACCTAGAATAATGGATACATTTTGCATTTAATTCACATACACATTTGATCTGTTGTCCGAATGACTAAGTAGATAAAATGATGAAGTGAAGACATTGGCCTTGATACCATAATGCTGTCTTTCTCCAACACGTAAATTTGAAGCTAACTTAATAAATTCCTTACACTATCATCTGCATATATTTTAAAACAATACTGTAATGAACTGGATTTGGCATTAGTATACATACATAGTTTGCTAGCTGGTTTAGTAATGTGCTTATAGTATGCATTTTATAGAATGTGTTTGATCAAAACAGTGAAGGGTAGTTTTTAGCACGGTGGCCTGTGTGTGATCGATGACAATCCAGTTTTTTAAGTGTATTAGTATTCATGCACAGTGTACCCTGTGTTTACTGGCATTCTGTGTAAATGTAGAGGAATGCATAGGTTATCACAGCAAAAGAAAAAATAATGCTGCTGCTACATGCTCAGACTGTGAGATGACAGCACTTAGAGGATGCAGGACAAAGTAGGTGTCCTTCTGAAGTGGATTGCTATCAGGAATTTGAAAAGTTGGCATCAGAATTTAGTTGTTTGTTAAACAGTGGCGCATTCCTGACTTTAATGAAGCGATGCCCTTCCCCATGATGAGATAGAGTCTGTAATAAATTGGGAAACAGACATTCTTCCTTCAGAGCAGCAAGACAGCATTGTACAGTAATCACTTAATCATGCTAATCTCACAGGCTTGATTGGAGTGAAGAACTTGTAATGTTGTTTATTGTCTGCTTTCCAATGTAGTATCTTCAGTTGCTGATGTATCAGAAGCGATTGAAGCTTTTGAGATTGTGCTCATGTCTTTTTGTTGTTGTTGTTAGAATGTTCTTTAGTTCTTTAATGACTTTTCATAGTTAATTTGTTTCTTCCCTCCACCCCCATTTCTTTATAAGAGCTTACATATAAGGCTACCTATAAGTTTAAATTCAAGGGATGTTAATCATTGTCCATTTTCTGTTCAGTAAAATACAAGAAGTTGATTGGTGGGCATTTAGGCAGTACAAAGGGATAGAAGAAATGAAGGATCTTGAGTTTTGCACATTGTAGGTAGGGAAGTCCCCGCTCCTGAGTCACCTCATTGGCTCTAAGCCATTTTACTATTACCAATGCAAAGCTTTGCCATTTTTAATGACTTAGAAGATATTTTTCCATTGATTTTTATTTTAAAATTTAGTAACGATATGACTTGTTAAGAGGTTTATAGAGATTTCTTAGTCCCTTCAGCTAGAATGAGACAGCTTTGTATGTCCTCAGTAAAGCTGTCCTTGTGATACTGCAGTTGTAGCTCAGTTGGTACGTTGCTGGCTCCAAGCTTTGGTATGCTCCAAGCTTTGGGTGCCATCCTCAGTATTGCATAAATGGGTGCAGCAATACTGTAATCCCATTATTTGGAAGGTAGAGGCCAGAGCATGGGAAATTCAAGGTCATTCTTGCATAGGTTTGAGCCTCTCTCTTCCACCCATTCCTATTTAAGAAAAAAAAAAAAAGAAATAAACAAAATGCTGTCTTTGAAAGATAATCTCACATACAAATGTAAACATTATTGATGAAATAACTAGAAATAGTTACATAAACATATAAACGTGTTTGCTTATAAAAACCAATATATTCATACACATGTATGGCTTTGCTTACCCACTGGGAGTACCACCATACCTTTAAAATCTAAGCTGTGTATATATAATATTGGGTGTAAATATCTACAAGTATAAATACAAACATAAATCTTTCTATAAAGAACACATGTCTGATGTGTAGTGATTACCCATGCACTGGTACCCAGAGTCTAGAATTGACAAGTTTGGGCTTTATCACCCTTCACCTGTCCATCCATCAGCCCATCTTACTTTTTATGTATATTTCACAGAGCTGCAGATATGAGTGGCTTCCATGCTCAAGCTCTTCAGCAGCATAGCATCATTAGAGCTCAGCGTTTCACTGAACTGTACTGTGCCAATCATAGTATATCAAGCTGGGTGTGATGTGTACATGGAATTGCAGCCATTTGGGAAACTGAAGAGTAGGATATCTGGAACCTGAGAAGTCCAAGGCCATCCTAGGCAACATAGTGGAAATGTACTTTTAAAAACAAAAGAGGAGATGCTACTTGGTGAATTTGGCAGGCATCTGTACCCCTATAACTTGGACGCCCTTAAGTGTAGAACATTTCTATCATCTTGGAGAGAGCCTCATGTTCTTGTAAAGAGTAATACTAATCCTGTATTTATTTGTTACAGACTACTGTGTAAGAAAGTGAAACATCCCGAAGCCAGGTAGTTGTAAAGCTGAACCCTAGGCAGATGTGAAGGTCCATTTGTATAATCAATTCTTAGGAGGCTGAGAAATGAAGTTTGTGAGTTTGAGGCTTATGTGGTCTACATGGAGTGCCAGACCAGCCAGGCTGCATAGCAAGATCCTGTTTTAAAAACCAAGCAAACAGTCCTCCCCATTCCTAATTATTAAGGAACAATGACTAAGATATTGCTAGATGTTTTCAGTATTTATTTTTACTCTTTGACAATTTCATACATGTCTTTAATGTACTTTCGTCATTTCTTTCTCCACTATTTTTAAATTCTCTTTCTATTTCTGCTGAACTCATTCTTTTGAATAAGCTTCCCCTCCTCTTTCTATGTTTCTATGTGTGGCCCACTGAATTTTAACTAGGTTTGTTTGCATGAGCATAGTTTGAGGGGCTAGTGCCATTTTAAAACCCATGTATTGAGGCCTACTGTATTTGAGTCATACTTGAATGAGAATGTTAGAAACACCACATTTTTCTTTCTTTTTTTTTTTTTAAATGCTCTTTTGCAACCCCTCCTCACATGTTACTGTGTCTCAATGTCTCTGTGGTAGAACCTCATTTCTAGCATTCACATAGCAGTTGCCAGTCCCTAGCTCTTAAATTTAGAGTTATTTTTTGCTGTGATGGAAGCAGTTTAAAGCAGGACTGGATATTTCCTAGCCCAGACCTGCTGCCATGTACCGTGTGAGACAGACCATGTTTTTGCGGACCCTGTGACTTTTCCTCACAGCTGTTCCTCAATGTCTTAACAGCAGAGCAGGTGGAGGACTGGAAAGGCTTCAGCTTCTCATATTGATAACATTAATTTTCCTTTTTAACAAGATAAAGTCGAGACGTGTCTTGTTATAATTACATAGCCTTGGGTAGTAACTCCTCTTTTTTGCCTTAAAGTGCTTTCATAATCAGAAGACTTTTTCTTGTAATGAGATTTGAACAGTTTAACTATGGATTTTTCCTATACTGGTGAAGGGCTTCAAACAATAGTAAAAATAAAAAAAATACTTTGAAAATTCAAATTCATCCATCCTTTGCTATGTACATTGTATGTCACTGATACAGTTATTTAAAGATAATAAAAAAATCAATGATAGCCCTTAAGCTAATTGTTCGTTTTAAAAGTTAAGGATGTTTTAAAAATCTGGATGCTCTAGAAGCCCCTACTTGGGAAGTGAGCATGTACATAAAATTGTGGGGAGTATTTTCATTATCAGTTCACCTTTGAGACCTCAAGAAGAAATTTTTGTTCTAAAACTTATTTAATAATAGTGATGAACATTATTAATATTGGGAAATATCAGAAATAAAAATTAAACCTACTGGATAAAGAAATACATATTTCTGATGCTAGGAAAACATTTTCCGATACTGTAATTTGATTTTTCTGGCACCCTAAAGATACTAGGCTTCTGTAATTTTCATTGTTGCAGAATCTTAAATTTAAGGTTGAGTTCCACTTTGTAATAACTTGAAAAACAATAGTTAATGCAGATTTTTAAAAATTTCTTTCCTTTAAAGCTTTGTGTCTTGTACAATGTGAGTTTGCCAAATTTTCTTCATCTGCTACAGATTAGGTATGCCATTGTTGCTGCCATGTGGCGGCGCACCGTGCTTCTTAAACGCACTGACTGGAGCTTTGTCGCCTTGTTCACATGCACGGAGCCTGGTAACAGCCCCATCTGTATTTTGTTAGCTTCATTTTCTTATCTTTACATTTCACTATAAACTCAACATAGCATTTAAACATAAAGGCCAGTGTTAATGAGTTAACGATACTACAAAAGTCACTGCTTTTTAACTGTTTTTAAAATGATTTATGTTTTAATTAAATTATGTGTATAAGCAGGTCTGTTTTTACCTGCCATTTTAACTGTATTTGCCAAATTCTAAATGTAATTGTGAAAGTTGAAACTTTTATTTATGTGGCAAAAGTGAGTTTCAGGACTGGGCTGTGTGTTTTATTGGCATTTAACTGTTAACATGAGCTCTACAAGAGGCTGTGCTTAAAGAGCCACGCATCAACAGCCGCATTTACAACTTCCGTGCTAAGTGCTTGGTTGGCTCATTTACGAACCTGGGTAAATGTGGATTCTGTTCTTTGAAGGCGCATGGAGGGATAGGTATGCTCTGGACCAGTCTACTTAGTTTTACTTGTTGACAGTTTGTTATAGAATAGCCATAGCATTTCTTTTTAAGAATGATATGTTTTCTTCAGAAATGCTCATTGTAAAGAAGTTATAAAAGAAGAAAAGTTAAAGGGAAAGTACCTTATATTACCTGTAATTAAAGGAGCTGAACATTTTGTTTGGGTTTATTTCAGTTCATCTTTGCCCTGTATTCAGTGTGCTGTTTTAGACACATTGTAATAAATTACATCACAGTGTATTAGCTGAGCAGCATCCCTTTTCAGAACTTTGTATTGTAGACTTAATTTTGAAAGCTGTTGTTTGGCTTTGTCTGTTAAGGACTTGCCATGGTACTTGTCTGCAGCTTCTCGTTGCCAGCCTTGTCCCAGTACTGGTACCTTCTGTTGCTCAGTGAAGTCCTTGAGTTAGGGGTGTGGTGCTTGTCAAGGAGCCCTGGGCTTGCAGCAGGTCACACCTGTGGCTGACTTTGCAGTATGATTTATTCTCATTAACATTTAAGAAAACTTAACATTTATTGTGACAATATGTACTCAGTTTTGCAAACTGAAATATACTTTGATCATTGTGACTTTTCCCAATAGATCTTTTCCCCCTAATATTGAGGATCACCCAGGCCTCGTGCCTGCTGGGCAAGTACCCCACCACCAAGCTGCTCCCCAGCCCCTGGCCATTCTTACAGTTTTAGAATTATGTTAAATACAATTGCTTTCTGAAAGTTATATTTTTCACATCTTTTGGTCATAAGTTTTTGTTTTTCTTGTTGATTGAATATGCCTAAGATATTTTTCTGGATTAACTCTACAGATCTCTTACATTAAGAAGTTAAAATTCAGACACTGTTTTATTTGAGAAATGCCACTGTGTCTGTTTTGTCACCTCAGCTCACAGGTTACAAGATGGGGTGCCCACATTATTGTTACATGTATTTTTTCAACCTGAGCATCCTGGAAGTGACTCTTACAGCTCTGGCCATCTGTGTCCACTGTAGCTTAGCTCCATGGTGTATACACACATATTTGGTGTAGACAGTGACATGCATTAGTTTTTTAAAAAAATTAATTACTTTTTTCCATATTCAACTTATATATTTACATGTGATCACCCCATGACGAGTACTTAAAAATTAAAAATTCTGTAGTAGTAGTACTCACTTATAAAAGGTGGACAGGATTGTACATATGTACACACGTTCACACACACAAACACAAATGTCATTTCAATTTTAACTCATGTACTGTCTCTAAGACATGGAAAACTCAGTTGTGTAACTATACCAAACAAACATAAGAATTAGATAGCAACTTACTTCTTAAACTGGTGATAATACCAAATTGTTTACCACAAATTAGCATACTGTCAGAACCACATAATTCAGGTTTTCAGAATTTGTGTTATATGTAGTTAAGCTTGCTAGTATACAGTGTGTCATAGATGATGTTTTAACATAGGCTGTTAACAGTTTCCACAGGGTTATTTCTAAGTAAACATGAATTTTTAAGTTACCAATGCCCTCATGTGGTGAAAAACATATCTGTCTTAGAACTTGGAAATGATTATATTTTCATTTTAACAAAAGTGGACAATAGTGTTCTTGAAATGCTGTTGACATAATTTGAATTTTGTAAAGCTCATTGCCATAAAATCCACAGCCTCACCCTGTGTTGTCTCAGAAGTGCATGTAACCAAGCACACGCTTTGAGACAAAGTATGAGAAGGATTGAATTACAGGTAGCATAGGGGTTTTCTGATCATGTATATGATTTCTTATATGCTTTGTTTTTGTGTCTCACATAGGTGATGTACAGTTCATTGATTATGAGTATTCTGGATACAACTACCAGGCATATGATATTGGAAACCATTTCAATGAATTTGCAGGTGAGACCCACACTTCAGTGTTGGGGTCAACTACCAATAGTGACATTTCAGGGTTGTTTTACCTGTGCAGGAGTGTCCTGCTCACCACTTGACCTGCTGACTTTGTTTACTTGTTCCTGGAGAAAAGAGCTTTCCCCTTATTTGCCATCTGAAAACACAAGAAAGGAGATAATCATGGCTTATGTGAGAAGAGCTTCCTGAGACTGCAGAAAGAACTCAGGGTTTGATCATGGGCAGGCCTGTGCTGGGGCTGGAGCTTTAGCTCCACATCTCTATCACATAGGAATGATCTTGGCTTCCATCCCCAGCATAACAAAATAACATGGCTCTTGAAATGCTTTTTAACAAAACACTCAAATTTTTTATGTTTTTGTTTCGGTTGCTCCAGATAGCAGTCTCATCTTAATGGTGCTTCTCTCCCTTCTGTTCCATTTGCATATTTGGGTTCTACCTAATATTCAGGTTTTAATCCGGCTTTTCCGCACAGAAGTTCCAATATTGTTGTGGCCTTCTCCTTCATAGTTAGGACAGTCTCTGTGTTAGCAAACAGTGAACTCTTGCCTGCCTATGAGTTATCACCAGTTTAAACTTGATTACCATGAAAGGCTGGACATTTTTCCCTCTTGAATTTCATTTTATAATTATTTACAAAACTTTAGTTTTCTTTTTATGTAAGTAGAATATATAATAACACAACTATATTTAGAACTTTCCTAAAAATAATGAATAGAAAATGCTTTGGGTGTCTTATTCCTAGTGAGGATATTGTATCACTGAACTTGCACTTGGAACAGATTGTTGTCTTTTTTTTATATATTTCAAGTTATGAGGCTAGTAAAGAAAATTGGTTAAAGTTTTGTTTTTAGTTAATTAGTTCCACCAAATTTACCCTACATGTAGCGCAGAGCCCCATGTTTGTGTTGCTCATACTGTCACACATTGTCTGTAGGCAGGAATGAATCTGTAGGTTAAATGTTCGCGACACAGAGACTGTTCTAGCTATGAAGGAAGAGGGCACAATGGTCTCAGAACTTCTGTGGGGGAAAGCTGAATGAAGACCTACATGTTAGGTAGTATTTGGAACAGAAGGGAGGGAGGCAGCATTAACATGTGTCTGTAGCTCTTGAAGGAGAGGCAAAAGTTACATTGAAGAGGTAGATTTAGAATATTTATGAAGAACCCCAAATGTCAGGAAAGAACCGTAGAAACTTTTAGGGTGTGCCATTAGGCTGTGGTAATGGCCCACCTTGCATGTCTCCTTCCCTTCCTCCACCTCTCCCTTCAAAAGAAATGGAAAGGATAGAAATCTAAAATACCAGAGTTGGATGATAAACGATAGTAAATATAGTGTTTTCTGAAACTTTATAGCAGTTAATGTAGGGATAAAGGTTTCAGTAAAGAATATGCTGTAAGGATGCGGAAGTATAGCTCTTCATAGTGTAAATGGGTTTTGTGGGGGGTGGGGAAGGACTTGGTTTTCTTTGAGAGGCTGGCCACAAGGAGATCGCCCATGCTCCAGTGAGTATATGGACAACACAAATTGGACTTGTTAAAATTTTTGTCATTTCTTTTTTGGGAGGATGGGGTGGGGCACAAGGGTTAGGGTTGGACCTGGGAGGACTGGGAAGTGAGTGTGATTGGGGGTACATTGTATAAATTCCCAAATAATAAAAAATACTATGTTGGAAGAAAAATGTTTATGCTGAATGTGCCCAAAAGCTGTTAGGAGGCCAGGCTTGAGGTTCTGCTCTTCCCTTAGTGCTTAAAAACAGGGGCGCTTGTTCAGATGTAGACTGGGGGTTCTGCTGCGGATGGCTCAAGGGAAGCAGTGACATCATCAGCTTCCTAAGATGAGCAGCAGCTGTGTGCTCTAGGTTTCAGCTGGGATTCTCAATGGCTGGTTGTTTAGTAATAAGGGATTGCCAGCAGAAGTGAAAGGCCTCATTACTTTTCAGTTAAAAAGTTGGTGGCAGTACTTAGGCATAGTGAAGGCTGTTTCTCAGTGGTCTGCTTCTCCTCAGGTGTCAGCGATGTAGACTATAATCTCTATCCAGATAGAGAACTCCAGGGCCAGTGGCTGCGCTCTTACCTTGAAGCCTACAAGGAGTTCAAGGGCTTTGGCTGTGAAGTCACTGAAAAGGAAGTAGAGACACTCTTCATTCAAGTCAATCAGTTCGCATTGGTAAGTTTAAATACAGTTAATAAAAATTCTTAATGCAACTTAACTAAGTTTTCATCTTATAAAAATTTTTTTAGTTTTGCTAATTTTGTTGTTCAAAATAATGAAAGATGTGATTGTTTACATCCTCCCTCATTCATTACCTTGCTTTAAGGATATATTTGTTGTTTTTTCCACTTACATATCTTACCCTGAGTTTAGTTTGACAATATGTAGCTATCTAGCACAGCTTGCAGGTGATGTGTTAAGACAATACTGAATATTAGGTCAGTTTCTTCAGCTACTTCATAGATTTTAATATGATTTTATAGAATTGACTTTGGGGGCACTGGCCATCCTGTCTTTTCAAATGGACTGCGGTGATGGCCCACAGATAGACTGTTGGTAGTCTCAGCCAGGCACGACGCCTCAGAGACACCCGGCACACCGCTGAGGGCGCGCTCCTACACGGTAACTGCTGTCTGATGCCAGACCCATGCGGAGGCTGCTGTTGGATACTCACTTTTAGAAAGTGAGCTGGGGTCCTGTAATGTGCATAAGCCTTCTTAGATACTAGGATTATATATCTGCACACAGTTCCTTAATCAGATGCTAAGCACTTGCTGCTACTGTAGCTTAGAAATATCGGAAGCCTTAGAAATATTAAAAGTCCTTCAGAATGCTGATAACTTAACACCCATGTGTATTTAAAATTCTCAGCAAAGTATAATTAGGAATGCATGTAAATGTGACTGAAGGGGGAAACATCATGGTAGCACCTACAGTACCAGCTCTTGGGAAGCAGATGGAGCAGGACCCAGAGTTTAACACCAGTCTGGCCACACAGCAAGGAGGAACAGCCTGGACTATATGAGACCTTATCTCAAAAGACAAACCAAGCCATAATAAACAAAGATCTTAACTGTACTTTAAGTATATTTGCTTGGCCCCATGTGTTCGTCTTATAGTCCAGCCCTGGTGTTGGGGTTACAGGTATAGTTGGCTGTGCTGGCTACTGCAGTCACGAAATGCCATTTATATGAGGACAGCTGCGATTACCCAGTAGCAAAGTGTTTGTTGTGCAAGCATGGAGACCTGTGTTTAGATTCCCAGCATCCAGGTAAAAGTGGCATGACACACACCTATAATTTCATTGCTAGTGGACAGGTGAATCTCTTGGGCCTTCTGGTTAGCCTTCTGGTTAGCCCACCAGAGATTTTCAGGCTTGATTGGTGGCAAGCCACTTCACCCTCTGAGCAATCTCACTGGCCCTTTTTGTTGCTTTTGCCTTAGAGGATATTCCAGAAATAAATTTGGGTCTTTAATACCACTTGTATGCCTGGTTCCAACAGAGGTAAAGAGAAGTCATCAGATCCCCTGGGACTCGAGTTACAGATGGTAGTGAGCTGCTCTGTAGGTGCTGTATAGGTGCTAGCAATCTTAGCTGGGTTCTCTGGAAGGACAGTCCAGTGTTACCAATATTAAAAACAAAAAACAAATGACTTAAGGGGCTGGAGATATGGCTCAGTGGTTAAGAGCACTGACTACTCTTCCAGAGAACCTGGATTCAAATCCCAGTACCTACATGGCAGCTCACTCCTGTCTATAACTCCAAGATATGACACCCTCACATAGACTTACATGTAGGCAATAAAGTACTTATATGCACATAAAATACTTAAAAATTTTAATTTATCATTTGTGTGTGGGTGTATGTGTACCTCTGTACATACATGGATGTATATGTGCATTGGAAGTCAGGACAACTTTTGGGAGGTTCTTCCTTTCAGTTCCTGGGGTCAAACTCAGAGCTCTTTTCCCTTTTTAAGTATCTTGCTGATGACCTGTGTTAGCCAAAATTTAAAATACCATGTCTAAGTGAAAATTGTGGGCCAGTGAGATGGCTTAATGGCGATTGTAAAATTCTAGAAATTCATATGATGGAATGAGAAAACCGAATTCTGTCTTACACATATGCGTGTACACAAACACATACATATTCACATATTCACTGAACTCATTCACTAAATAAGTGTAATTCAAAAAGAAAATAGGGGCTAGAGAGATGGCTCATTGGTTAAGAGCTTTTCCAGAGGGACCTGGCACTGGGGCCTGGCACCCACATGGTGGTACAGCACAATCTCTAACTCCAATTTCAGATTATACAAAGTACTCTTCTGGACTCTGAGCACTGGGCATACAGATGCTGCACATAGTACATGGAGGCACTCACACATGTAAAATCAAAATGTTAGTCATTAAAAAGAGTTCCTTGTGGCTGGACAGTGGTGGCACACGCCTTTAATCCCCGTTCTATGGAGGCAGAGCCAGCTGGATCTTTGTGAGTTCAAAGCCAGCCTGGTCTTGGGTTGAGTTCCAGGACAGTCAAGGCTACACAATGAAACCCCGACTTGAAAAACAAAAAGTTAATTGTGAAAAACACATACAATTATGTTGTAATTGTGAATCACATTAATTTTAAGTTCCAAGATCAAATTTTCACTGATTAACTTGTTCATCAGTGTTGTAATTAGTGTGTATAATGAAGCCAATAAAATAGATGGAAGAATGTGAACTAGTACTTATGTCTGTGTTATGGTGAGTAGTGAATTCCGCCTTGGACAAAGGTTACTGAAACTACTAGATTTGAGTTTCCACGTTGCTCTGACTTGTCACCTCTTAGTGTGGACAGCATCATCAGTGGTGACCCAGAGTTTACTCAGTACGCTTCTGTGTGTTCTGTTCTGGATATTTGCGTAAATTTTTTTTAATAATTCATTTATTTTTATTTTATATGTACGTTGTTTTGCCTGCATGTATGTCTGTGTGAGGGTGTTGGATCCTGAAATTATAGACAGTTGTAAACTGCTCTGTGGGTGCTGTGAATTGAATCCAGGTCCTCTAGAAGAGCAGCCAGTGCTCTTAACTGCTGAGCCATCCAGCACCTATTGTATAAAAATAAACACAAGAAAAAAGATATTTTTGTGGCTAGAGAGGTAGCTCAGTAGACCCAGGTTCACTCTTTACTAAAAGTAGAGGAAAAAGTACCATGCATATAATTGATGAAGAGCAGGTGGGATTAGGAGGGGAGGAGGGGGGGGTTTATGGGGGGATACAAAGTGAATAAAGTGTAACCAATAAAAGTTAAAAAAAAATAATTGATGAAGAGCATAAAATTAGCAGTTTTGTATTGTGTACAAAAATGTTTTCATAATTCTTGATTTTTCTTTTCTTTAAGGCTTCTCATTTCTTTTGGGGACTGTGGGCTTTGATACAAGCTAAGTACTCCACGATTGAGTTCGATTTCCTTGGGTAAGATGATGTTAACTGTGAGGTACTGTCTGTCCCTACTTGGTGTTGAACTACCATATAGAAATGACAAGAGCATGGCATGACTGTTTCAGACAGCATTAGCAGGCACTTAGAAGCTATAGGAAGCTTATGAGTTAGGAAGTGCCCGCATGGGAAGTATCCAGTAGATGGTGCAGCAGGCTAAAGCATGAGACATCCGCCTGGGGTGCGGGAAGCAACTGAAGGACTGACATCAGCTCATTGTGCCTTGTTCTTTCCTTACCAGGTATGCTGTCATTCGCTTTAACCAGTACTTTAAAATGAAGCCCGAGGTCACAGCGCTGAAAATGCCCGAGTAAAGACGAAGCCTCGCTGGTCTCCAGGAGCTGAGCGATGCTTGTGGATGTTTCTAAGAAATTTCAAAAGCCAATATTTGTTAAAACTCATTTAATTTGGTTATCTTGCTTTATAAATTATGCCTCTAAACAGCCAATCTATTTTAAATAGAATGATGTTGAGAATATGCTTACTGCTGTCAATATGTGGCGAGCTAGAGATTGGTCCATCAGCAGAGAGAGTAGAGTTGGCTTTAGCCTTTGGCAATCCAGTCCATGTTACATGTGAATTATTTATTACAGATTTGACTTGACTGACTACTTTGAGTTTTCATTTGTTGGTTCAGTGTATGAAATGAGAATGTTGTAGAGATCTTTAAAAAGTTTTGTTAATAGGGGTAATTTTAGAAAAACATTCTTGTTCAGTGTAACCTTTGTAAAGTGAATCATTCACTCCCGAAATGGCAGTCGCTGCCTCAGTAGTAACTTCCAGCTGCTCTAGAGACAGACAGGCCCGTTAAAGAGGGAGCAAGGTAGCCACTGCCTCTGGGGTGAACGCTTTGAATTGGAGATTGGAGATCATTTCTTTTTGGGGAATACAACTTAAATTTAAACTATCTCTTTACATAGCCTGACAATATAAGATATATTTACTGTATAATCCTGGAATATAAGTATAACAGTTTAATGTTAAAATCTGTATTAAGTCATGTTTTCAAATACTAGATATACTCATTTAAGGTATTAGTCCCAGTTTTTAGAATTTATGTACCAATTGTTTCTAACCAAAAATTTTGTTTTAATCGAGCTACTCTGTTTTGTTCATTAAAATAATAGCTGGTATTGTTAGTATTTGAAACAAACATACAGAGTTCATCATACCTGGAAGCAAGGAATATCATTTAGATGCTTTCTATTCAGATTCATTCCTTTGGTTGGTTTTGTGTCTATAGAGTCAGCAAATGATTCCTTATACATGTAATTCCAGAGTAGTGTTATTTAAAGCAGTTACAGAATCAGTAAGGAGCATTTAGGTAGGTCATTGAGCTTGAATACTTAGATGTCTAACAAATAAGGAAATGTGAATTAAACAGTGTCGTGGTAGGAGGACTTGTTTTGATTTATCTTGTTTTTGTTAGTCTAGTTTTATTTTGTGTAGGTGTCAGGGAGGCAACTATCACATGGAAGGAAGCTAGGTCTTTGAGGTAGACAGGAAGGCTTTAATCTTCGAAGGCTGTTCTGTGGGCGTGGACAGTCACAGCTAACTTAGATTAGTCAGATAGGCTTTGCACTTTGCTCACGTAAGTGCTTGTGTACCAAGTGGCTCCATGGATCTGCATACGGAAAGTATGCAATACAGATCTATCCTAAGACATTGTCTGGTGTTGTTCCACATGGCTTGTGTTCTCAGACAAGTGCTTTAAAATACTTGGGTTGTTTCAAGGTGTTCAAACCTAATTAATTAGAAACACAGGCCATTTGAGATGGTAAATTTTAGCCGCATAAATAGACTCCTAAGTATGTGTCTATAACAGTGTTAGACCTGGATTTGGTTTCTACCTCCCCAATGCTGTAATGTTCACTTTTGTTTTTATGAACCACATTGCAATTCTACCGACTTCCTTGAATGGAAACGAATAATGACTAACTCTTTACAATGTTAAAGCAAACCTACAAAAACTGGCTTAGTGGAATTTTCATTCATGGTTGGAACATTGTCATAGACGATAAAGATGTGAGCCTCCTGATTCTTTGCTTTCTTCCTTACAATCCAAGAGTCTGTTGTCATGAGGCAACACAGGAGAAGACAGTGTTTGCTAGTCTGTTCCTGCTTTGAATGGAGGCTCACTGTGCTGCTGCTGCTGGCGGACTGCACAGCAGCCAGCTGAGATGTGGCTGCCACAGACACCTGTGGCACTGAATGCAACGACAACCTGGCATCTTGTGTACCCCGCCAGCACACAGGGATCTTGGGAAAAGACTAGCACATGTGAACAAACTCTTGCCCCCATTCCTTGGCCAGATTTGGGTGCTCTTATGCGCCTGTTTCTCAAACAGCTTTTGGGGATCATGGTGTAGACTTATCAACAGGATTCAAAATGTCTTTCCATTGTATTGACCATGTAAGGGATGCTAAGGAGGGTATATTGGGACAGCTCTGAAGAGCATCCTTCTGGAATGTGTCCTCTGGCTTGCTAGGATGTCAGTTGCCTTCTTTCGTTAAGCTAAGGAACTTGAATGCCTTACCTAATCACTCAACTGGTAGTAAGCTCATTTTGTAAATATGAAAGTGGATGTTAGAAATGGCATTCATGGATGTTCAATGTAATCAATAGACCGTAGTGGCCTGGATGCTTTAATAAGCAAAGTTTTACATTTCTGCCCTCTACCCCATCCTATCTCCCTGGCACACTGTATGATCTTGAACCTGACCAATGATATTTGATTCCCCCCCCCCCCCATTCTGTGCTGCCACCATTTCTAGAAGTGAGATGTGGTGGCCACGTCTTACTGTTGACATGACCTGCCTGAGGTCAAAATGAGCACAAACCTCATCAACTAGGTCTGCTTGGAGTGTAAATAGGACAATGTAAATAAGCAGCTGTAATTAGTGTGAGTTGTGTCATGCAGACAAGAATGTGTAGTTTTGCATTCTCCTTTGTAGAAGTTTTTCTGTCACTAAATGATCCAGCCTGTTGGTGTTTGGCTGGGAACAGTGCACACCTCTAGCTGTGCAGTGAGATAGCAAGAACTGGAAGGAAGATTTATTGGGTTTGGTTTATGTTGGTATTTATTTATTTAGCCTCTCAGTGCCTAATAAGACTCCCCCCCTTTTTAACTTGTCTATTAATTTTTTGTGGGTTAGATTCTGGGAAGCAGTGAATTTATAGAGTTCATTCTTTGAATCACAATTTGAAGGTAAAGGAAACTAAAAATGTAATTTGATGTTTGTAAACTGAACTGTGGTCCCCTTTTGATTTCAGAGTTTGTTGACATTTTTTACAAAAACTTGAAATTCATTGTGAATGTAAATCCCATCCATGCAAGATCTGGGGCAAACAGCATCTTAGTTTGTCAGGTGGCTTCTCTAGAGTGGTTCAGTATGGGATTGTGAGAGAAAAGGTCTTCAATGACAGATATTCTCCCCCTCATGTTTATTTTAACTTTATGTGTTACTAAGTTTTGACTTAAAGGAAGAATTCCCTAAACTAAAGAAAAGTTGGAAACTTTGAACAGCGCCCCCTTGCTTTCCATGTTAGGCAGAAGTCCCTGTGCCTCTTGATGATTTCACTGGCTGACATATAACAGGCAATAGTGTCACACGTTGCTTTTTCTTTTCTCTAACTTGCTTTTAAGCATTTTCTACTGCATTCCAGAGTACTGTAGACTTAAATATTTTCCTATTAACCTACCACCTGTTGACAGAGTGGACAGTGCTTTGTCCTGGGGTTGTCTAGTGGCAGCAGCATGTGCTACCTCACAGGGAAGGTGAGCGCAGGTGGAGAGCCTGGGTGACTGGCTTCAGCTGCCGGGGGTTTTCCTCTCTGTCACAATGCAGGATGGCCTATACTGTGAAGCGGAGCTGCATCTTCAGACCTGTTTCTGTTCTGAGAAGCAGGGTAGAGGGTGGTGAGCCACCTTTTTTCCCCACAGTGACAGCAGTGTTCAGTCTTGGGTTTGACAAATGCTATCAGCTGCTCCAGACAAAACATCCCCAATTTTGGAACTTCAGTCCATATTTTTGTAAAAGAAAATACTGGAGGTTTTGCATTACTTTGAATTCTTGAAGGCTAAATTCAGTGACACGTTACAAAATGAGTTAGATTTATTTTAATAGTTTTTGTGCTGAAGAATTTATTTTTGGCTTAATTTGGTATGGGAAGAATCCCCAGAGTATTTGGATTAGGAACATAATGATGCTTGACTCATAAGCACTTTAAACTCCTTTGTTGGCAGCTTTTCCTCTCCTGGACTGTGCACTATGGTACCACCAACATACCTTTCTCCATTGTGCATTTTATGGTTTATGTACTTGCAAAAATACTCTTTAAAATAGTTTTAATTTTATCTTTCGGTTATCTTACCCACTGTTGTAATTTGGATCTCATTAATACATTTTAATAAAACACTAGATGCTTATAGAACTGAAAACATCCTATTGTCTTTTGACTAGTTTGTGAAAGTGGAGCAGGAAAACCTAGCCAGTTGCGATTACAGGCTTCCTAGCCAGAAACAGAGCTAGGTTGAAACCCAGTGATACCCGCAGAGCTGTGGAGGGAACAGATGCCTCTGCTCTCTAAGCCTGCACTGTGGCATGCTGCTGTTTGTGTGTAGGTAGCGACATACTGAGTGTTTGTTGTCAGTAATCTGAAGGTCGTCCTCTGTATTTACCTGTACTAAAGTAACTGTAAACTAATGGAACCTGTCAAAACTTTTCTGTGTTTAGGAGCTTTTGTACAGCCAGGTCAACTGTCCTGATTGAAGGAAGAAGACATGGTATTACCCATATGCAAGGGAAAAAGCTGGAATGAGTGATTGCGTTAGCTGTCTGTTGAATTGGGGAGCTGTGGCATGGGATTTTAAAATTGTTTCTCAAATGTGAATTGTAGTCTAATGCTGCTTTGTATAGACTGTAAGTGCTATGGATAGTCTCGGCACTGAACATGGATCGATACCTCGCAGATGAACACAGCCTTTGTCCTAGGTTTCCCTACTCCTCAGCAGTGTCTGAGTGCTGGAGAACTTGCTTATCTGTTTGCTAGCAGAGATACTTCCTGCTTTTTCCTTTGTTGTTACATATTTTTATGTTTGAAATTTAATTTTTACTACTGTTAATTTAAGTAAAATTTGTTCCATGGATAAAGTGGCATTGCCAGTGAGAATGAGCAGCCTCACTCACGCAGCTGCTGAAGTGAAGTACATTTGTGTTCTGTGTTCATGAACTTGCAATGAAGCCGTGGTTCTGTTAAGATACAAGTGCGGCTTAGGCTTTATTTCTGTTTAATAAGGCTTTCTACCATTGATTAAATGAAGGAATGTATCTTTTTGAAGAGATTTATATTCTGTAAATAAACATTGGTTGTAACAATAAAGTTGAGTTCTAACCATAATGTGTCCATGTTGTTCATACGCAATTTGGAGACTTTCTGTAGTAGAATATATCGAAATACATGAAAGCGTTGTAGCTGTTTGCCTAGCAAGTTCAGTATCTTAGGTTTGATCCCTAAAAAGAGAGAACAAAGGGTTTCCAGAGTTAGTAGTGAGGGCTGGGGAGCTGTCTGTAGGGGAGTAGTCCCTAGCAATCGTGAGGACTGGAATTTGGATCCTAGTGTCTACATAGCAAGCCAAGTGTTCCTACATGCCTGTACCCAGTTCTAGGGATGTGGACACAGGTGATCAATGGGGCTTGCTTGCTCCCAACCTAGCCAAGAAAATGTGAGCTCAGGTTCAAAGAAAGTTTGTCTCAAACACATGAAATAGGATAGGACACGGAATACCTCTGGCTTGCTCATGTGTAGACACATGGACTCACGTGCATGCATGTAATTTTTTTAGACAGGGTTTCTCTAGCTCTGGCTGTCCCGAAACTTGCTTTGTAGATCAGGCTTGCCTGTCTCTGCCTCCTGAGTGCCTCCCATCATTGGTGGGCCACCACTGCCCAGCTTTTTTTTTTTTTTTAGTAGCATGTAAACATATTTGGGTTGGTTTATGTTTCTCATTGTGTTACTTTTCTGTTGCTATGATAATATACCATGGCCAGATGCAACCTAAGAATTTTGTTTTCCTATATGAAGGTGTGGTAGAAGCAGGAAGCTTGGCTGATCACATTTTATCTCATATTTGTTTTCTTTTTTTCTTTTTTTTGGTTTTTGAGACAAAGTTTCTCTGAAGCCCTGGCTGTCCTGGAGCTTGCTCTGTAAACCAGGCTGCCTGCCTCTGCCTCCCAAGTGCTGGAATTAAAGGTGCCCTCCATCACGGCATGCTGATCACATTTCAGTCACAGAAAAAGGGCATAGGGAAGTGGCATACATCCTCAAGGTTCAGACTTCTACCAGCAAGGCTGTACCTCCTAAAGATTGTAGAACCTCTCCAGATAACCTCCAGCTGGACCAAGTGTTCAAATACAGGCACCTATGGGGGCACATAGCTCATCCAAACCACCACACTCATTCTGGTTTTGCAGTATGTTGTGAAAACTTTGAAAACCTGCGTTGTTTCAACTGAGCCACACCTCCCAGCTGCTAGATCTGTCTGGTCTCAGGATCCCTATCAGGCTAATTCTTACTCCCTTAAAATCTCTGAAGATTCTACCCAAACTACTTGTGAAGTTTGACTTTGAGAAAGCCATCTTTCTGCATAGGCAGTTGTTCATTCTGTCACTGTTTCCTTGCCTTGCTGCAGTGCCCATAGACACTTCCTATCAATATACTTAACTCATGTCCTCTGCTTTAGGGACCTGTTTTCTTGTGTGACAGCCATGCTTCCTAGCAAGATTTTATTTGTGTAGTCTTATTACAGTGCTATGAGGTTCACGATGAACTTTCATTTCCCACACAAAAGTATCAAAGAGCAGAGAAACATTTTCCAGGAAAACAGTGGGAAAGCAGGATTTGTTACTGCAGGGAGCATAAACCTTGGCAAAGTTGTTCAAGATAGCTTTTCCGGGTCAGCATTATGCCCACAGGGAGAAAACCTAAAGTCGAAGTTAGTTGAGCATATTCTTTCCCTCCTCCTCTACTTGGTTTGGTATTATTTGAGAGAAATATATATATTTAACTGCAGTTAATTTCCAGAGATGACCAGAATTCAGTGTTTTTAGATTCTGGTGTTCTAACAGCTTTCAACGTTCAACTAATAAGTATATATGTAATATGTGTTTAATGTATAATATATTTAGTATATTAAATATACAAATATGTTAAATATATATAATATACTTTAAATGTATACAGTAGGCTTATAGAAAGTGAAGTTTACATGTTTAAATATTTAAATCTATATTTAAATTTATAAGTGTGTGTGTTGTATGTGGGTACCTGGGCCACTGCACCTGTATGGGAGTAAGAGGACAGTTATGTGTGCAGTGATGTTTAAATGAGAATGTCCTCACACTGCTACCCCCTAGACTCATATGTTTGAATCCTTGGTCCTTGCTTGGTGACACTGTTTGGGTATGTTTAGGAGCTGTGGCCTTGCTGGAGGAAGTGTATTACTGGAGATGGGCTGTGATTTTCAAAAACCTCACTATTCTCAGTGCTAGATCTGTTTTCTGCTCATGGTTCAAGACAGAACTTCTTAGCTTGCTGTTCCAGAAGCCATGCCTGCCCTTTCACTGGCCCCATAAGCCCAAATAAATTTTCTTCCATGAGTTGCTGGTCAAGTCAGGAGACACAGTGCTGTACCTGTTGTGCTCTCCTATCTTGTGCTGAGACAGGGTATCTATGTAGCCCTGGTTGTCCTAGAATCATTTAGACCAAACTGGCATCCAGCCCCCAGAGATCCCATGATCTCTGCCTCCAAACATGATTAAAGGTTTGTGCCACTATGCCTGGCTCAGCCTAGTTTTAAGAAGGTGAAAGCAGTAAATGCCCTTTTCACCCTCCTGGAAGATCACCTTTGATACAAAGATGGGGAGCCAGCCTGTTTTCATTACTTCTGTTGCTGTCTTAAAGTTCCCTGGCAAGCAACTTAGTTTGTTTTGGCTCACACTCGGACGGCACATCATTGCAATGATGTCACAGTGGTAGAAGCTGAGGTGGCTGATCACGTGGCATGTGTAGTCATGGAGCATGAGAAAAATGCTTGTGATAGGCTCATTTCCTTTTCATACCCAGGATTCCATCCCAGCGAGTGACTGGGTCTTCCCAACTTAACCTAATGGAGATGATTCCCTACAGATAACACCCAGAGGTGATTCTAGATCTCACAAAGTTGACAACTGAGGTTTTTAACAAGGCTGTTAAAATTTCTTTTGACACTGGCATTTTGAAAAAATAATTCAGCGTAAGACTATGAATCAAAATCAAACACCCATCCCTACTGAGATCTCTCTAGTTGGTTTTCTCAACTATTTTGTACTGTGAATCTTAATAGCTGAAAAAAATTAATCCTTTTTACAAAAATACTATATTTAGTATTTAGTTGGTGATGAATGCTATTTCAATCTTCACACCACACTGAAGATGATAATTCAAATTGCTCTCTTTTTCTCGTTTTGTAACACTAGGGTAAAATTTAAAATGTTATTGTGCTTCTTGCATATATCTTTTTGCATGGTAGCAGAAGGCTGTGTAGGTGCCATGAAAAAGGCTGTCTTGCTGACATCCCTAACAAGAGCCTTAAAGCTATCCTACTCAAAGATTTGTGAGTTCCCACTTTGAAATCTAATGGAACTTAATGAGAAGGAAAATGCTAAGTACATGACAGTGTTTGCCAGTGCTCAGTTCCTTATCAGAACAACAGAATCCTGTTGTCTTCAGGTTGTCCCAAGTGTTGACAGCACTATTTCATTTATCTTTGGAAATAAAAATGAAACACTAGGGCAGGGTGTTGTGTGAATCTCCAAAATATGAAGCCCTCACTATTGCAGTCTTTGTGTACACAGTCTAGTTTATCCAGCTTTTGCCATATTCTCCCTACCTTGCTAAGCACTCTGTTTATAAGACCTCCAACTGGGGATCTGTTAAGGCATTGTTTGGTGCTTTATATTCAGATGTTAACTGCTTCCCTCCACACCCTCCCCTCCACCATCAAGAGTACCAAATCGGTGCTGTGTAACCTTGCCTCCAAATTATCCCTGATTGGCTGAATAAATGCCTACACCTGGGCAGGGCAGAAGTGAGGTGGGCAGGGCCAAGGTTCGAGGGCTGCGAGGAGAGGAGGATGCTAGGAGAGGGAGTTTGGGTACGCGGAGGAGGAGAAGAGGAGGCAGCGCTGCATGGCTGGGGAGGAGCCTGCTCTGAGGATCAGTGTGGCTGGAGAGAAGCTGCCCAGATGGAAAGCATGTGCAAGTGTGACGGGATGGGAAGTAGCCGGGTAGGAGCGCCTAGAGCAACGGCGTGGAACTGGGACCGGGACACAAAGGGTAGTTTAGGAGGCTGATTTCTGCCCAGTTTCAGTGTACAAGCATATTAAAAATCTATCAGGTAAAGACTGTGGCTTTTATCGAAATGCTGGCAGTTGAATAATAACCAAAATAATGACAGGCAATTAATTCTAAATGTTAATAGCCCTTTTAATTTCTACAACAGGGACCTCTTATTTCTGTTTCCCTCTTTTGGCCTTTAGGGATCCTGGATTCTCATGTGCCACCTGGGGCCCTCCTGCCAGCATCTTTAACAAGTGCCCTCTCACCAATGTTTCTCTCTAACCAACATCTAGAAAACAGGTTTGGATGTGCCCAATGTCTGTCTCCCCATCTGTTCATGTGAAGGCAGCTGACATGTTAATGACAAGATTTATTTATTTTTTCTTTCTGTCCTTCCTTTTCTTTTTCTTGAGACAGTCTTACTATGTAGTGTTGGCTATAGACCAGGCTGGCCTCAAACTCATATAGAAATCTGTCTCTGTCTTCCAAGTGCTAAGGCACACACCACCACACTTGGTATTATCTCTGGACACAGTGCTGGGGGTCAAATCCAGGACCATGTACATGCTAAGCAAATGCTCTTTCATCAAGGTTTATCCCCAGCCCAACTCACTTTTTTTTTTTTCCTGAGACAGTGTTCTCTTTAAACAACTGAGTCATCTCTTCATCCCCTCACTTTCCTTTTAGTTTTCCTAACTGATGTTATTTCATTCATTTCATTCTCATTTTTTTTTTTTTACTATGTGTGATATTTTACAGATTAATTTTTATAGTACTATATCTGTAGCTCAGTTGGTAGAATGCCTAGCATGTTCTGGTTCAGTTCCTAGCACTGAATATATTGGATATGGTGGCGTATGTCTGTAGTCCTAGCACCTTTGAAGCCAAGGAGGATCAGAAGTTCACAGGAGCAAGATGGTCCTGTAGGTGAAGGTGCTTGTGGCCAAGCCTAGGGATCTGGGTTCAGTCCTGGGAGCCCACGTGCTAGGAGAAAACTGGCTTCCACAAGTTGCCATTTGATAG